TCATCTTCACCCCCATTCTTCGGCTTCTCCAGGTGCGGAAACACACAGCGCAGTGTGAATTCCGACACCGTCAATTTGAACCGGGCGGTAGCCGTCACAACACCAGGAACTAGTTCCTCGACTCGCTGTAAGTACATCTGAGGGTCGCTAAAGTACAGCGAGTATCGCCGTAGCTGTTCAACTAGCGCTTCGACGCCCTGTAGACCTCCCATACCCACGTCGTGCTCGAACGCCTTCTGTAACTCGGTCAGAATCTGCCTCGTTTCAGTATGCTTCATCATTTCATCTGTATTCGTCATGTACCACGGAGAGCGGAAACCGGTTTCCAGCAGGCGAAACACGTCGCTCACGATACTCCACGCACTGCGGTTGGTTTTTTCCTTGAAGCGTAGACGTTGGCGCTTTAGCTTCAGTCCTTGCACTTCTTCATGCAACTGCTGCACCTCGTGTTGCATTCGCCTTTGCAGGGCGCGTTGTCGGTCACGGTAGCGTGCCTGGTTGTTTCGGCACTGCTCGCGTCGGATGGCCTTCTTGATCTCAAGTTTCTCGAACTTGTCCATCTCCTCGACGTCTCGAAGACGCTTAAGGTCGAACAGTCTTGTATTGTCTACTGGCGCTCGCATCGTCTTGTCAGCATAACAGAGGGCAACCTGGGTGGCGTCGGACAAGGGTCTCGTAGCAGCGCCACCCCTCGACGTACTGGTCAAACGACCCGGTCTTCTTGCGGAGTCCTGAAAGGCCGGGGCTGTACGTAGTGCTGTCTCCAATGGAGTCTGAAGACCTGCATCGCCTGTCGTGTGTCTTGGTCGCCCACGTGGCAGTACGTGGCCGATCACACTGTCACTCAGTCTTGAATGGGGTCGTTCAAAGTGGCCAAGCTGCATGCTGGGAGTGTCGAAGCGGCTGGCAATTTTGAGCGGAGATGAAATTTGGAAGTGGTTGAGGACTACATCCACCCCGTGGGGGTCTCACGCCGGTCCGAGGGAAACGTAATCATCTAGCATTATGCAGTGCAATGTCAGCGAGATATATTTTTTGTACATGTATCACGTTTTCGCGAAAGGAGTGCAATCACCTATTGTTGATGGTGACAGCAAATGAACGTCATCCGATGCCTATCGGGGTAAGCGTGATCGCTGACAGTTCGAAAGCGACTGGTTGAACTGCTGCGCATACAGAAAGCAAATACAAATTTTCACAGTCGGAATTTTGTTTATGAAGTTTTGATGATTGTGCGGCCACAATGTACAGACAACGACGGTGCCCGGCTACAATGTGCCAGCTGCTGAGGAGAGCTTCAGACTTGAAGGGGAAAACTATGGAGCTCAAGCTTAGGGAGCTCAAGGTACCCAAAATTGGAAATTGGGCGAAATGTAGTGCTTAAAATTAACGGCACCTCTAACAGAGTCTCTATAGACTCACAGACATGAATGTAGTATGGCTCGCCCAAAAGGTAACAACCGAGGTGGCGCAGAAAATCATGTGATATTTCGCTGATGCAGTGCAGCGCTGGATCGTATTATTCATTTTTGATAGTCGACGCCTATTTTACGACACTACAGTTGTTTCAAAACTCCAATAAGCTACATGAGTAGAGGCAATACTAAAGTTTGTAAAGCGTCATGTTGTTGCCGTTTAAGAAAAATAAAACGCTCTTTTGTTATTAACAGTAGGTGTTTCACTTCTGAAATTATTGGTGGAATAATCACATCCAGAATATAACAATGCACATACTGGAGGAAACGAAGGGCTATCATTTGCCGCACTGAAGGGCGTGGCGTGGTGGCGACCACGCGATAATCCGGTGCTCGGCAGGCCATTCAGCACATGTGCTGCTAAAAGTCATAGAATAGTCCTCGAATGCGTTAGCCATCCACCGACACATCAGCTTGATGACAAGCCGGTCCGATTCCGCTTTAACGAACGCCATTGCTCCTCCAAATCCGACAGACTGAGCCGAGTATCGAGAGGAATTTAGCTCAGTCCAAGATGCCGCTTTCTTGATTATCGCTAAGACTACTCTTATTGTTATTTCACCTTGCTTTAGTGATAGCACTAGTTCATCCGGTTTGGCGCC